GGTCTCCAGAACATTAGAGATAGTAGGAACTGCAGATGCTGGAGAATCCGAGACAACAAGGTGCAGGGCTGGATGAACACAGCAGGCCAAGCAGCATCATAGGAGCAGAGAGGCTGACGTTTCGGGCCTAGACCCTTCATCAGAAAAGCAGAACACTTACGCTCGGTTCGCAACAAACAACTGCACCTCCCAGTCGCGAACCATTTCAACTCCCCCTCCCATTCCTCAGACGACATGTCCATCCTGGGCCTCCTGCAGTGCCACAACGATGCCACCCGAAGGTTGCAGGAACAGCAACTCATATTCCGCTTGGGAACCCTGCAGCCCAATGGTATCAATGTGGATTTCACAAGTTTCAAAATCTCCCCTCCCCCCACCGCATCCCAAAACCAGTCCAACTCGTCCCTGCCTCCCTAACCTGTTCTTCCTCCCACCTATCCCCTCCTCCCACCTCAAGCCGCACCTCCATCTCCTACCGACCAACCTCATCCCACCCCCTTGACCTGTCCGTCCTCCCTGGACTGACCTATCCCCTTCCTAACTCCCTACCTACACTCACCTTTACTGGCTCCATCCCCGCCTCTTCGACCTGTTTGTTTCCTCTCCACCTATCCTCTCCTCTATCCCTCTTCTATCCGCCTCCCACTCTCTCCCTATTTATTTCAAAACCCCCTTCCCCTCCCCCTTTTCTGATGAAGGGTCTAGGCCCGAAACGTCAGCCTCTCTGCTCCTATGATGCTGCTTGGCCTGCTGTGTTCATCCAGCCCTGCACCTTGTTGTCTCCAGAACATTACCTGGTTCTCTGAATTAACAGTATAGCAATAATACCACTAGGCCATTGCCTCCCATAGTTAGCCCAGCCTGTCTGCTTTGACTTCTGAATGAGCACCTCCCATTCTCCTGCCTTCTTCATATAAAGTCTACAATTTCTCCCTTTTCAGATCATCATCCAGTTTTGAATGTCTTTGAGCCTGTTTCCAGCCCACTCTAGGGCATTACATTTCAGATCTTAACAACACTGCTACACTGAATAAGTTACTCCTCAAGTCTTCATGTCAAAAAGCAATGATGGAAATTATCACCTTCAGTCAAGAGAGTGTGAGTGCGTGATCTTACACTTGAAACAAACCAAACATAGGAGAGTTAAGAGACAACAAGGTGCAGGGCTGGATGAACACAGCAGGCCAAGCAGCATCATAGGAGCAGAGAGGCTGACGTTTCGGGCCTAGACCCTTCATCAGAAAAGGGGAGTTAACATGACTGAACAGTGCTTTTCTATGGTGTTATGGTCAGTGAAATTGCAGCTGGCTTATTTTGCTTGATCTGATGTGCAGGCGGCGTTTTTTTGGGTTTTTTTTGATCACTAGATAGGTAGGATAGAGCAAGGAAGCACAACATATTTTAAGAGGAGCTCACTGCTGGAACTGGCTCAGCTTCTGGGCACAGCTTTCACCAATAACTAAGCAAACATCAATGAAGTAGTTGACACCAGACAAACGATAAGTTCAAAGCCCTCATATGAAGGGGGAAAGCACAGAATATTCTCGTTTCTGGTGTGCAGGTGGTTTGCTGAGGGCTTGGAGTTTGTGCAGGTCAATAACAGTTTTCATTAGAGCTCCGTTTTATGCATTCCTTTTGATACAATGCAGCTGTCAGTTGAGACAGTGTTGTAAAATTGTTCACAGGGGAGCAGGTTTATTTTCCGAACTTCAAAGAATTCTTGTCACACCAATTCTCACCTTTGGACATCTGTCAAACCTGCTTCCGCGCTGTTTCCCTAAGGATGATCAGCAAGGGCTGTTTTCTATGACAGTAGCCGCAGTGCTGAGTTCAGGCCTCAGCTGGAGTGATTTGTTCTGAAATGAATTGATCCTTTTTTTTGCTTGGAAATGTGTGGATTTGATGCAGTGGAAAAGCCTCTTATCTCCCTTTGCGGGCCAACAAGATGAAAGTTTGAGAGTTTGTCAGGCTACTCGCATTGCATTGGTACGTTTTTATCTGTTGAGGTTTTATTAATGTTTGATTTAATACAGGCCTTGGGCAGGGGTGGGTAATTTGTGAATCACTCAACGTACACCACCAAACATTTGGCACCCCTCTGCAGCTGTCAATAAATCATGTAATTGTAGGCTCGGGTAGAAACCAACACCCCAGAATTCAAGAAAACCTGTGATCAACAAGAACAACACATTTTTTTAAGACTTTGATCATTGTTAACTGCAGGGAAATTAAATTTGTAACAACTGATTTTGTGTGGGAAAGAATTTAATACTGCTTACAAGCTGTCGTTGACCAGTTTTAACCTGGAGAACAATGAAACCAAGATTCAAAAAGACTAAAACTGAGTTATTTATAATTGTTTTTCAGTGCTTCTCCAATCTAACTCTAATATTCATAAATTCTAATGCCTACTGCCTGTCCCAAACTCTGGTGGTGACTTCAGTGACCAGGGTGTAATGTAAATATAGTAAGCCATTTTCAATGATCGATTCTGCATTGATTTTTAGAATCATTGAATCATAGAATTTTACAGTACAGAAGAGGCCATTTGGCCCATTGTGTCTGTACCTGTGATTTTAATCAGATTATTTCCATAATTTTATGCCTGAATATTAATTAAAGCACTCACTACTGTTACTATGTACAAACCAATAGATTAATCATGAAAGTATTAACATTTTTGGGATGGTTTGTCTGGAAATAATTCCTTCCAGATAACGTCATTTGTAGAATGAATCCATTTAAAAATAAACTGTCAGAAACTGTTTTAGCATGAAAGGAAGAAATGTAACAATTCATGTGTTTCTTTAATATATGTACGGTGTGTTAGGTTTTATTGGTAGAGGGATTGACTTTCAGAGCCATGAGGTCATGTTGCAGCTGTACAAAACTCTGGTGCGGCCGCACTTGGAGTATTGCGTACAGTTCTGGTCGCCGCATTATAGGAAGGATGTGGAAGCGTTGGAAAGGGTGCAGAGGAGTTTTACCAGGATGTTGCCTGGTATGGAGGGAAGGTCTTATGAGGAAAGGCTGAGGGACTTGAGGCTGTTTTCGTTAGAGAGAAGAAGGTTAAGAGGTGACTTAATAGAGACATACAAGATGATCAGAGGATTAGATACGGTGGACAGTGGGAGCCTTTTTCCTCGGACGGTGATGGCTAGCACGAGGGGACATAGCTTTAAATTGAGGGGTGATAGATATAGGCAGATGTCAGAGGTAGGTTCTTTACTCAGAGAGTAGTAAGGACGTGGAATGCCCTGCCTGCAACAGTAGTAGACTCGCCAACTTTAAGGGCATTTAAATGGTCATTGGATAAACATATGGATGATAATGGAATAGTGTAGGTTATTTGGGCTTCAGATTGGTTTCACAGGTCGGCGCAACATCGAGGGCTGAAGGGCCTGTACTGCGCTGTAATGTTCTATGCTCTATGTATATATAGTGCAGGAGGTGGAATATCCTCAAATATATATTCTCAGAAAACAAAGACATCAGCATTATTGAAAATATGAATACCCACAGCAATGGAATAATGGATGTCCTGTGATATACATTAAGGTATAGAGGGAGGTTTTCTGTTCTTCATTTCCAGCTCTGACTAATGATAAATATAAAAAAGGGAGAAAGAAAGATTTGAATATCCCACCATTAAGCTTGTCCATTTTGCTTAAGATAAACTTTGGTAAAATGAAGCAACATTTCATTAGCTTGAGAAAATGAATAATCTGTTGACATGAAGGATTTTCATCATTGGGCACACATTAAGAGTTGTTTTATACTGCGCTCAGTATTAAAAGGTTTGATTACATTTTGTGCTCTGTTATACAACCATTAACTGAATTTACAGTGCATTTCATCAGTCTTGCATTCACAGTTTGACAGGAAGTTGAGTGTATTCTGCTTGACAGAAACCTAAGTCAATGAGTCCAAAAACTTGCTGCAAACCTGTTTGGTCTGAGGCAGCTGTTTCTGTTTTGAGTCCAAGTGTTGAGGAGATTTGTATTAAATAATTTTAGCCACAGCGCTTAAGACAACTGAATCTACTACCTCGTGGACTGATGGGTGTTAATGTGGGAAAGTAATGATTATGGCATGTTTAATGAAAAGACGATTTTCAGATCATGCAGCAGCATTTTAATATCGGAAGAAAATGATCAACATTTGCTCTACGTGTGCCAATTAACTGAAGGATTTTACACCATGTCCTGTCACCAGGAAGAACTGGTCAATAAGTGGTATGGTGAAAATGGTTTAATCTCTTTTTCTTTTGAGTTTAGAAGAATGAACAGGGGTTTGGCTGCCAGGAAGATGTTTTGCTTGATTCAGGAATAAAACCAATCTCCCGTTTAAGATGGAGATGACAATTTTTATTTTCCGAGTGGCAATGGTCTGTGGGATTCTCATGTCTAAAGAAGAGTGGAGGCTGGTTCGCAGAATATTTTACAGACAGAGGAGGGATAGATTCTTCACTGACAAGGGGGTCAGAGGGTCTGGGTGTAGATAGGAAAATGGAGTTGAAGCCATGATCTTATCAACCAGCAGAGCAGACTCAACAAGCCAAATGACCGACTTCTGCTCCTTGATTATTTCTTTATGTTATCATTGACCAGTTTTGGTCTGGGGAGTATGCTAATTGCATTTTAAGTTGTGAAGCTCTCTTAACTTTAATTTTAAAAATTGAGTCACATGTAGTACCAGTTAACCCCTCGAGAGCCAGTGCAGGAGGAACAGTGACTACAATGGCTTATGTATTTCATTTTGGCACAAAATTAGCTTTGCTTCCAACTAGTGAGCCATCTAGAAACCAGGCTGAGTTCAGTACACTTCTGACAATGGATAGCGAAGCCAAATATATTGGATTTTCAGACTGTAATAAAGTTCTAGAATGATCTGAATAAAGGTGCCAGGTAATTAGACACTGAGAGTGCTGTAATTTACCAGATAACATTGTGTGTTTAATTAAGACAGCCTTTAATCTTTTTGTTTCAATTTTCTTTTAGCTGCTGATGTTCCTGTTACTAATTGCAGTGTCGAGGAGTTTCAATGTGCTTATGGCCGTTGTATTCTTGATATATACCATTGTGATGGTGATGACGATTGTGGAGACTGGTCTGATGAGTCAGACTGTGGTTAGTGACTTTTCTATTATTGTTTATACGTTAAGATTATTGGGACATTAAAGTCAGTCAGTAACAACACTGCATTTACTCCTGGCCTCATGTGACTTGCAACTTGAGGATATGTGATATTCCTTAGATACACTGTCATGGAGACTTATGTGTGATAGTATTTTATATGGGGTGGAGTGGGATTTCTGCTTTGATCCCACCTGGTAAGCATTTTGCTGTACAGTTTCCGCGAGGAAGTTATGAGGTATTCATGGACTTGTGGCAATCAATTTGACACACTCAGATATCACCTCTGCAATGTAAACAGCCTACCTCTATTACCCACTAGGCTGGAAGTTTAAATTTCCACTTGCTTACATGCTTTGACATCTCATTGTCCATTTGGTTCTGTTTTGTAACATTTCACTCTCGCATTTTGTCCATAAGTGACACGTCAATCAAATTTTACAAGTTGCTTTCTCACATTCCCAAGGTTACAGATTGGAGAGATGTGCTGCCAGCTACCATTTCAGATGAAATGTATCATGATTTTTGGATGTTCCTGGACATTGGCTTCTAGTTTATCATATTTTCTGGTTTCCAAATGAAACTGCACTGTCCCCAACTGAGCATCATTGCACAACACAAACTATTTTGATTTATGGAATCATTACTTGAATTTTCCGCAGCACTTCAGAGCACTATTACAACAAGTAGTTCTTTTTATTTGAAACTGAAATTCCAGTCGGAACCATTGAGTGTGACCGCAAAGGGCAAGGGAGATGTTTGGAATGTGTGGATTGATGGCAGCTATCAGACTCTGCTCATCCTTATCGAGAGGCCAGGTCTGCCTGGTTCACTGTGTTTCTTGGTGAAGCGTTGCAATCAGTCATGGTTGGAGAGAGCCCCCACTTCACTGCTGGTTTGTGACTACTGGTGGGTTGCAGAATGACCATAAGGCCACAAGATAGAAGAGTAGAATTAGGCCATTTGACCCATCAAGCCTGCTCCTGCTTCAATAATGGATGATGTGTTTCTCAACCCTATTCTCCTGCCTTTTCCCTGTAGCCCTTGTACCTCTTAATAACCAGGAACCTATCAATATCTGTCTTAAAGACACTCAATGACTTGGCCTCCACAGACCTCTGTAGCAATGAATTCCACAGATTCACCACCCTCTGGCTGAAGAGTCTTCCTCATTTCAGTTCTAAAGTCCCTTAATCTTAGGCTGTGTCCTAGTCTGTCCTATTGTGAAAATAACTTCCCCACATCCACTCTATCCAGGTTTCTCAGTATTCAGTTTCAATGAGATCCCCCTCATCCTTCTAAACTCTATTGACACCCAGTGTCCTCAGCTGCTCCTCATATGACAAGCCCTTCATTCCCAGGATTATTGTTGTAAACCACCTCTGGAGCCCCTTCAAGGCCAACATATCCTTCTTTAGATACAGGGCCCAAAACTGCTCACAATTTTCCAAATACGGTCTGACCAGAGGGTTATACAGCTTCATCAGTATGTCTCAGGTCTTGTATTTTAGCGATCTCGAAATGAATGCTAATATTGCATTTGCCTTCCTAAGTGCCAACTGAACCTGCACGTGGATCTTTATTTCAGTCATCTCACCCTCCTGACCAAAGTGAATGTGACTTCAAGGGATGAAAAAAGAAGGAAACTAGAGCATTAGAAAGAAAGAAAACGGGAATGTCCGTGTGGGCAGTGAGTTTGGAAGTGAAATTACACTGTAATCAGGGACAATACAGTGTGGAGCTGGAGGATCACAGCAGGTGCAGCTGTTCCTGATGAAGGGTGTAAACCTGAAATGTCAACTTTCCTGCTCCTCTGTTGCTGCCTGACCTGCTGTGTTCCTCCAGCTCCACACTATGTTGACTCTGACTCCAACATCTGCGTTTCTTGGTACCTCTCACTGTAATCAGGGATTAGCTTGAATTACAGGGATAATTCTGCAGTACCAGGCTTCCTCATTGAGGGTGCTCCTTGGAGAATCAGGGTTAGTGTGTTTGATTCTATCTCTGTCCTGCACTCCCTTTCTGTGACAGAGTAAGCTCTTTAACCACGTTTCCAGGGATTATCAAGCCTTGAATATATTCCTTTAAAGCAGAGTAACTGTGGTTGTGTACTCCCTGTATTATGCTGCTGGTGATGGAGTGCTGAATGAGAACGTACTCCGATGATGGAATTAGTTGGAATTAGAGGACAAAAGCCGGTGAAAGCTGTAAGACCGATTTAATATGTAACAAGATTGGATAAGTGTCTTGGATCACAGAGTGTATCCAAGCGGTTCTTTTTGGATTCGGTTAAATGTAGTTAAGAGAAGTTTCGTCAACAGCAATTTTCGTAAGTATGAACGTTTATTGAGTAGTAATAAAAGGCGAGAAAGAAAGGAACATTTATTCAGTAAATTAAAAGAATGATAAAGAGAAGACAAAAGACAATGAGCCTCATGCCCTTCTGCCCGTCGGGGACCCCTCGATCGATAGCTGGCCTGAAGGCTGAGGTTGTTCCCAGCACTGTTCGCGATCCTGGTCTGAGGTGAAGCCCAGTGACTTGGAATGAAACTCTGTCTCTCTTATACAGTGTAACAAACAGCCAGGCAACTACAGAAAAACACATTGATTGTGCTGGCTTCGGCACATACAGTAACATTCACACCACTTATACAAGGTCATGCAGCTGTCGAATATCATCATTAATTTTCCCAGCCTGTTTTCCCATTCTATTCAACCTATACAATGAGTTACCCTGTACATAGTCACAAAGCTGTGCAGCGTGGAAACAGACCCTTCAATCCAACTGGTCCATGTCGACCAGAAATTCTAAATCAATCTATGTCCTATTTGGCCCATATTCCTCTGAACCCTTCCTGTTCATTTACCCATTCAGATGCCTTTTAAATGTTATTGTACCAACCTCCACCACTTCCTCTGGAAGCTCAATCCATACATGCACCACCCTCTGTGTGAAAACGTTGTCCCTTAGGTCCCTTTTAAATCTTTCTCGACTCACCTAAAACCTCTGGTCTCTAGTTTTGGACTCCCCCACCCAGGTGAAAAGACATTATCTATGTAACCTATCCATGCCCCTCATGATTTTATAAACCTCTATAAGGTCTCCCGTCAACCTCCGATGCTCCAGGGAAAATAGCATCCTGGGTTTGAGTTTGAAGGATCCTATTTGAATATTAATTTAAGTATTTAGGGGAGGAAGATCACAGGTTGAAATGGGAGCATACGGTTTTTGGGGACCTGGTCAATACCCATGAAAATACCAGCCCTCCGTTAAATGATAGTGTTTTTCAATTGATGAATCATTCAGGGCTGTAGGAAGTGAAGGCTTATTCCATCTGGCTTGATTTATATCTTACCAAAGGCAGTCAATTGCTTTTTCCTCTAATGTAGGTTGGAATGGAAGGAAACATCCGGTAGCTGTTTAAAATTGAAGGGTGGAACTGAGTAGTTTTGTTAGTGGTTTCAGTTAGAGACTGATTAGTAATATAATCCTCCAGTGGTGTCTTTTAAGCTCTGTCTATTACGGTAGCAAGAAGAATCCAAGTAACTTGAAACTCTTGCCTGGATGTTTTGAGACAATTACACAGTATTAAGACTGGCCTTTTACTGGTGTCCTGCTTAAGGTTCTACCAACTGAGGTGATAGCTTTATACTCCTGGTGTGAAATGCCTTGCTAAAGCAGTTTTCAGGATATGTTCTCATCCAATGCATTCACAACCTCAGAGCTTTGGCAAGCCATCATCTTCTGTTGTGATTCTGTCCCTTCCTGTAGTGCTTATTTGACTGTAGTTAGGGCTCAGCATTTCACAGTCTTTAGACTCCATGTTATCTACAGATCGAAATGTCAGAAGTTGCAGATTTTATTTTCCTTGTTGCTTTTTTTTTTGGACAAACCCCTGCGGCTGCGACGTTGCTGCATTTTGCATGTTGCTTTACGCTTGCTTCTTGGCCATGTCTTGCTCACTACTGCATCAGCCATGGAGTACAGGCCTTTCAGTTTACACCTTGTTGATGATCGTCGGCAGGATCACCTCAACTCTGCAAACGTAATCCAAAGGGACCAACCATGTTATGTATTACAGTCCTTGTTCAGTCCAGCCATCTGTCTGGTCCAATGCACCGTATCTCTCCAGGTGAAGCCCAGTACTATTTATAAAAGGAAAGCTGTACCTTCCCGTCAGATGAGCAAAGCATGTACTTTGATCCTGGTAAAATTTCTCTTTGTGTAACATGTTGTACATTCATACCACAGGCAATGATATTTGGCAGCAACAGCTGAATATTTCTAAGTAAAACCATAACATATGCTCACAAAGTGGAAAGCCCATGTTTTTTTTAAGATTTATGGTTTAACAAAGTAAGCAACACTGCCTGCGTTTCAAGAGATAGAGGAATATTGGGTTTATGCTATGACCGGTGTCACAGACATAGCATTTTGGTTTATTTTGTATCTCCGTGATATTTGTTCTGGAGATTTGATTCCCTCAATTGCCATCCAGCCTTTCACCTCGTTCATCTCTATTCCTCCTTATAAACAGAAACATATTTCACATCCAGTGACTGCATTTGTGTTTTCCTCTCCAGCTGGAGACTGTTTTGAAGATTGGTGATGGAAAACATCTTTATTTCTCCAATGCGATTTGCATTTCCATCGCCTAAAGGCTTAATTGTTCATGACTCTAATTAAAAAGGGGTAATAAACTCATGAAAGAGGAATGTGACAGGGACAAAACCAGGCAGAGTGACAGAGTCGCATTCTACTGTGTAAAAGATACCAGCCTCAAATGTTTCAGCAAGCACTCCAGACTGTCCTTAATTAGGTAATTGACCATCCTGCCCTCAGTTATGTTTGAAATAGTCAAATACCAGAATTCAGATGGGGACAATTTATATTTCTCTGTGTCCCAAAAGAGTTCAAATTATGATCTGACGCCTAAAGCCTCCAGATATTTTGCTCAGGTCTTTCAAAAAGGCAGTCAAGATTTTCAGGAATACCTCAGCCACGGCTTTATGTTGGATCTTTGGACAAAAGCATCTCTTTTTTTTAATGTAATGGTGAACCAAACCATCCAGCAATGGATTTGGAGACTAATGAAGTGGTATAGCTACTTGAAGTACACAATTTGAATTTTGTAAAAAGCTGCAGATGCTGGAGATCTGAAACAAAAGCAGAACGTTCTGGAGGAATTGAGATGATAACTTTGTTTCTCTCACCACAGTGAGAGTTTCTCCAGCACTTTCTGTTTTTGTAAACGGTTTGAGTGCCACAATGAAAAAAGGATCAACACCTTTTAAATGTGATAAAATGTACATCAAGCCTTCAGTCTGGAGAGTGCAAACAGTGATTTTGGATGAATTTAAGAATCTCGATATATGTACAGACATGAAGATAGGTTTCGAGCAGGCACAGAGAGGGAAATAAAAGGAAGCTGAGAAATTCATGAGAAAAATTCCACAGAGTGTACAAGCAAGAATGGCACCCATGAGGAAACTGGAGAAAGAGCAGGAGGAAATTGGAACGGTGAAAGAATTTTTTAATGAATCAAGAACTTTGAATGTGGTCTGTGCTAGTGTGAGAATTGAGTTTGGTGAGGATACTGGTGGGCAAAATCATACTGTAACCAGGCAGAGGTGGATAACTGGATTTGAGCAGGTGGAATTTGTACAGCGTGGAATTTGAAAGCCTGACACAGTTGCTGAGGTTCAGTTCTTGTGGAAACAGAAATGTGAGTAAGGATCTCAGTAACAGCAGATGCAATAGTTAAGGGTGAAGGTATTTTTTGTTGAGATAGATGCTCGTGATGAATAGGGAATTAGAGGCTTTGGTCAGGACTGAACAGGGCACATATTGCAAATCCTTGTGCTGTCTTTGGCCACTGCAGTCAAGAGAAAGGATGCGGTGACTTTGAAAGTAACTGAGTAAGCTGGATTTGTTTTCTCAGTCATCATTTGGAGGTGATTCTGCCAAAACACAAATTTCAGATGGGCATTCTGAAAGGAAGGATTAGCAGTCTGTCGCACAGTGTGAATGTGCTGACACAGGTCCTGGCATGGGACTTGAAACCTCAGGCCTGGGGGCAAAGACAGTACTTACTGAGCAGCAAAACCTTCTGTAGAGGAGGACCTTCCACGGGTGAGAGGAGAAGCCATTTCGGGAGATATTTTGATGTTGCCAGTGGGCGTGCAAATGATGAGCCAGGACCAGAGCTGTAGAGGATACATCTTGTGTCTAACATTCTGCGAGGTAAAAGAGATTGGAATTCTACAGCTGAAAAGTGTCAATACTTTGAGGAAAAGGATAGAGTGAAGAGAAATGGCAACATTATGGAGCTTCAGATGAAGAATGAAGCTGGTGTGATTATTTATTTTCATTGTACAGAAATCTTAACTATGACAGATTTGTTTCTTCATGAACGTTTAGACCCCAGACTTTGAACAGAAGCTGTTTAGTGGGAGAACAGGTTCATAAATCTCAAAGATGAATCATGAGAATTGATTTGAGGTAGAAAGAAGTTTTAAGCCCAACCTCTGTTTACAACCTTCTGAAAGTAGATCTGGCCAAGTTAAAAGGTACTGTGATAACAAGGTGTAGAGCTGGATGAACACAGCAGGCCAAGCAGCATCAGAGGAGCAGGAAGGCTGACGTTTCGGACCTAGACCCTTCTTCAGAAAAGACCCTTCTTTTTCTGAAGAAGGGTC